ACTTCAAAGCTTTGAAACGTCAGTTATGGATAAAAGTTTTACCTTTTTAGCCAAGTGATTGACGCTCCCAGCTTGTATTTCAGTGAATGATGACTGACAAAAATATTTTTGACCGAGTCAATATGACATACAGTCAACACCCAAAAATATACAGTGATTATAGCTGCTAATATAAAGATTATCTGTGAAACTAACTATTGCAACTGGCATCAAGCGATTTGAGAATTTTTTTTTGCACTTTGATATCAATTAATTGAAACACCTGTCGCCCTCAGTGTTGGACCAGTCAGGTGTTTTGGTCAACAGTGTTTGTACACTAAGGACGAACAGGTGTGGTACAGAGTACATGGGTTATACACTTCAGGTGTGTGTGGAGGGTGGGAGGACTTAGTACCTATGTGTTTGTGTGTGTTTATTGACAGGTGTGTGGCACGATGGTGCAGGACACACTGGAAGACACAGCAACAAAACACATTGGAGGACACAGCAACAGGACACATTGGAGGACACAGCAACAAGACACATTGGAGGACACAGCAACAAGACACATTGGAGGACACAGCATCAGGAAACACTGGAGGACACAGCAGGAGACACTGAAAAAGGCAACAGCAACACCCGAAAATGATGTGTGAGGGGGCAGAAATTATTTGTGAAGAGGCAGAAACGATGGGTGGGGGTGGGGGGGGGTGGGGCAGAAACATTGTATGAGGGGGGGGGGGCAGAAACATTGTATGAGGGGGGGCAGAAACGATGTGTGAGAGGGGAGCTAAAACGATGGGCAAACAATGAACAGAGATGAAATTAAGTCTGAAACAAGCGCTGCAAGCATTGCATAGCTTCTTGAGATGGCAGAGCAGCTCATCCATCGAATGCCAAGTCTAAAAATCATTCCTCATAAGATTCATGCAATGATATAATGCAATCACCGAAAGTTTTAAACGATACTAAAAGACCAAACAGGAAAAGATCAGAAGTAGAAAAAAAGTAAACATGGAAATCTACTTAATAAAGTTACTTAAATGGAAGTTAAATCTTTTTCAAAACAAAAGTTCTCAGTCTAGACAACTCCTTTAACCACTGATGTATGCCATTGTGCTTTTAAATGAAAAACAATTCACATACTAATTAACATATAGCATATCAACATTACACAGAAATATTATATCTCATATAATTAACTCTTTCAGCTCAAGTGGCTGAATTTGTGTGTGTGCATAGATCAATAATTATTACAGCAACTTCATCCAATCATTGTTGTAATTATTTCCAAGTATATACTAATTTATGCATGTAAAGTTCTTAGTTAAATGTTGAGTCCATTACCCTGGCGCGTGAGGGGACACTAGGTTGATGACATTTATTTGATTTACAACCACTCAAATATAAAATTTGTTGAGAATTTGGGAATTATCAAGGCAAAAATATGCCAGAAAACAGTCATATTTACTAGTACTGAAAATTTGCATATTCAGTACTAATTTTACGACACATAAATCGTGGAGTTTCAAGTTGTCTCCTTGCAAAATGTACTAATTTAAGTGTGTCTTGTCATGAAGGCTCCTGGTTCGTGGTAAGTGTGACTTAAGGCTCGTGGTTCATAGTGAGTGTGTCTTAAGGCTCCTGGTTCATGGAAAGTGTGAACCAGAAGTCATGAAGGCTCCTGGTTCCCCCTGAAGGCTCCTGATTCCCCCCTGAAGGATTCTGGTTCCCCCTGAAGGCTCCTGGTTCCCACTGAAGGCTCCTGGTTCCCCCTGAAGGCTCCTGGTTTCCCCTGAAGGGTCCTGGTTCCCCCTGAAGGCTCCTGGTTCCCCCGAAGGCTCCTGGTTCCCCCCCTTAAGGCTCTTGCTTCCCCCTGAAGGCTCCTGGTTCCCCCTGAAGGCTCCTGGTTCTCCCCGAAGGCTTCTGGTTCCCCCTAAAGGCTCCTGGTTCCCCCCTAGAGGCTCCTGGTTCCCCCTGAAGGCTCCTGGTTCCTCCTGAAGGCTCCTGGTTCCCCTGAAGGCTCCTGGTTCCCCCTAAAGGCTCCTGGTTCCCCCTTGAAGGTTCATAGAGCGAAATAGAACTATGCACACAGGATGTGATCCACTACTTTCAATCGCGCCAAGGATTGAGTTCCCCATTTTCGACGCTTATCCTAATAGGCGGAAAATTGCGCAGATCCCTGCAAGATGCATGTACGATATTGCAAGTTGATGTACCTGCTGTTTAATGTAAATAGACTGAGTTTGTTCTCAGTGTGTGTGAGCTTGTGGGGTTTTGAATAAATAAACAAGCACTCGATTCACTAAATTATAGTCTCAAATCTAGCAGTCGTCCACAAGTGGCCAAGTTGGTTAGAGAAAAACAATTACGAGTTTTCATTGCACATGCGTGACTGCTTTTCGTGCTCGCAAGATTATAGAGGGGAAAGTTGTTTATTCTCAAGTAGATTACTTTGCGTGCCGGTTCCTTGAGTCGGTCCGGCACGATAACTTTGTATAATCAAGCAAATGTCCATTTAGTGAAAGTGTGGAAAGTTTACGAGGGGGGGTTAGGGGGGGGGAGGAGAGTGGTATACGTGTAGACTGGTTGCTCGCTGGCTGGTTCTTGCTGCCCCTTGTGTCAAGGAACACATGTTGAGGACCACCTTGAAGTTAGATGTGTAGTTAAACTTGTGTAAAGTCCAGTCACGAGACGTTAATAAGTTTGATATGGTCCCTAGGTTAGCCCAGTCACTTGGACGGTAGGTAGAGCGATGGTCTGGCTTCATACAGGTCGGCGTTCAATCCCCGACCGTCCAAGTGGTTGGTAGCATTACTTCCTTCCTTCTCATAATCCTGACCCCTTTCCAAGTGATATTTAGTCGTATTGGCTTGGCGCTTTTTCCTGATATTTTCCCTTTCCCCCTCAGTCTGATTAATAGCTAGTTGTTTATGCTAGTTTGAAGAGCAACTAGTGGAGTGTACCGCTAACTACCGGTGCTGTGATGAGTTAGTTGGTACCACTAAGTGGTACTGGTAGGATGGTACTTACCCACACAATACCAACATCACCGCGACCACCACACACTACCAATATTACCTCTACTACCATTACAAGGCTCCACTACTTCCATCACTACCAAGGAACATCTACACCAATGAAGTATGATTTATTGGGGACAATTTTTGAAATCAGTTTGTAATTCGTGTCTGTTCCCATCCCAACCCAACATAACCCAGTCCAGCATCACCACAACACTACAATACCACCACAACACAACCACTACATCACCCAACACAACCACTAAATCACCACAACACCACCACAACACCACCACCACTACAACACCCTCGCCACAAGAACTAATCACCACTACCAGCTGCTAAGGCAGGAACCACGCAATTTGGGGTGAGTAGTCTATCTCACTCGTCTGCTGCAAACTTAGTTATATATTGAGATCTCCCTCGTTGTAATTACCATGCTGGGGTAACTTGCCTATTTTTTTTTAACCCACCCACTCGTTCCTATTTTTCTTTTTCTGAAGTAAACCTTGGATAAATTAAGCTGTTGTGGGAGGGATGGGGTATATATATATTGCATTTGTTGCGGAGATAGAGAGAGAGAGAGAGAGAGAGAGAGAGAGAGAGAGAGAGAGAGAGAGAGAGAGAGAGAGAGAGAGAGAGAGAGAGAGAGAGGAGTGATACATTGGCATTTTTGTTGGAGAACAAATATATTACTCCTGTTTTAGGAGGGGAAGACTTGGTATATGTTGGCGTTGCTGGTGGAGGGAGAGAGGTATGTTGCATTTGGTGGTGAAGGGTGAAGGTATATATTGCTTTTGTTGGAGTGGGAAAGGGGGGGGGGTATATTTATTGATTTTGTTGCAAAGAGAAGGGGGTTAGATTTACTGATTTTGTTGGAGAGGGAAGGGGGGTATATTGTGAATGCTTGGAGCTGGATGAGGTATATTCCTGTCATTTGGAGGTGTTAAGAAAGCACTGGGTATGTTCCTGTTCTTTGGAGGATGTGAGTATGCTGATGTTGAGGAGGGTATGTTAGGGGTATATTAACTATTTTTCTACGTTGAAGATAGTATGTTAAGGAATATTTCTGCTGCTGGGTGAGTGAGCAGACATATACCTTAATATACCCAATTTAGTGAGCACTGAATTAAACTGTTTGTGCTGAAAAATAGCACTGAACACCGAACACAAAACAGCACTGCTGGTGCGTGAGGGGGTGAGACAGCGGGATGAACAAGCACTGCGGTGTTCACATGGGGTGACAGCTGGACTGAACACTGAACACTGGGGGGTTAGTGTGTTTGTAAACAGAGCAAGGAGCGACCCTAGTGAATGTTCAAAAGGATAAATGGAAATTTTGTGAACATTTAGTCGGCCGTTGGTGTTCATATGTTATGAATGAGAGAGTGAACACAGGCTTCCATACACGAAGCTGGTTGTGTTCACAACGTGGGAGTAGGAAAGTGAACACCACTAAAAGTATTCACAATATAGGGTAGTAGAGAGAGAGACCACTTTGAGATGATTTCGGGGCTTAGCGTCCCCGCGGCCCGGTTCTCGACCAGGGGGAGGTAGAGTGAACACAAGAGCTCCACACGACACTAGTGGTGACCGAGGGACACAGAGCACCAAGGAACACAGAACACCAAGGGAGCACAGAGCACCAAGGGACACAGAGCACTA